TATCTCGTTTTAAGGGATGTAAAATTCCACCTCAAACACTTGGGGTACAAGTAAATTGTTGAAGGGAATGGAACCGTTCACCTGGGCTAATCTCTTTCTGAGGCAGTTGGGGATAGAAGCGGCAGGAGTGTGTCAGTTATACGGGAAATTCTTCGACTGTTTTGCTGTCTTGGGTTATCAGCGCTAACAAACAAAAGAAACACCTTTCGTTCCCACGTTACCCAAAACTTCAACTTTGCTTGTTTGTTCTGCTCTTTTGTCTTTTAAAACGTTTCGGCAACCAACTAATCAGATGATATGATGCACCGTTCGTTTTCTTGCAAACCGTACCCGACGAGACATTCAATGCACTTCGTACCGTTGTTTTTAGTGTCAAAACTTCTGAACACGTAAAAAACTTGATGGCGGACATCCTGTAGAGAAACGACTATCCGGGATGGTTCCCACTGCACCGCAGCGAAACTTATTCGCTAGCTGAGGTAAAATTAGTCTCCGGTAATTACTAGTTCGTGTCATTTTTCACTTATCAAATTCTTCCACTGGCCTGACGAAGCTCATGATTACAGCGGTCAAGATGTCTGCGCAACTACTTTTGTCGCTGAAATCAAGAAATACGCCCTTAACACTCATCGAATCATCCTCATAAGTACTGTCTACGTTTGATTGTATTTACCCCTGCATCCGCAACTTAGCTTAAGGGAAATCTTGGAAAAGTGAAAGGTAACTTGAAGCACGAGTAAAAGAATATGCTTACATTCCCACCTTAGAGGAAAAACCAACGATCAACAGGCCGACTGAATACGGTAACTTACGTTTTCACGTTTGACTGAATTCCCGCTTTTCCCACATCGAAATACCTTGTCCATTGTAGCAATCAGGGTGAGATTTCCTGCGCCCCCAGGTTCATCACAACAATTAAACTACCCGATTTGTTTTTTTATTCTGAGGTTTTGATGGTAAAACAACCTAGGCCTCTAATATACTTTCAATCGCAAAATAACCTTACTAGAGTTTGCAGCCACTGTGGCCCATGATCTGGGTACATGATGCAGTCATATACACTGTGTTTCCCCTTCAGAATCTGAAATTTTGTTTTCCAATGCCGATCTGTGCTATCATCCATTCGTTAACTACTTGACGTGTATTGCTCTCAAAGCGACACTATTCTGCTTTATGCAGGCCAAATTTGACGGAACCAACCTTATGCGAGAACTTGCACGTATTAAAATACACTGACTGCTGCTTACTAGGGAAATTTTGTTCGGACCGTCCGTTGCCTTCTTTTAGGACCATCATTTGCAAGATAAACCTGTGTAGTTTTGTCAAGGGACGCCACAGTGGGGTATAGTTGATGTGAGGTGGCCTTATGGACTTGAGCATCCTTATCTAAAGTATCTTTACCGAATCTCACCAACAGAAGAACTAATCATTCAGTAATTGCATAGCAGTCCTCACCAATGAGTCAGGAATTGCTTTGTTTATGTGATCGGCCAGACCATAAGGTTTTATGATGCACTCAGACGATAGTTACCATCTTGAGATAATCTCGACCACTATTTACACAAGCTGATTTTCGCTTAAACGTCTTTGTGTGCAGGAGCTTCACTTGAAAGCGCATGCAGAAAGAGTTAAAAGGGCAACGTTAAATCGTGCTTCCATGTGAGGACGTCTGTTCCGATGGATTTCGTTCGACAAGAAATGATTCTACATGTTTTCATACAACAGTTGATTTCATGCTCGGAATGATGAGGATTGGGTGGCATTGTCTGCATACTAATTGTTTGTGACATGACTCCAAAGATTAACGACTGTTTCAATGCACTACTGTGTCTTTATATTTCAGACTAAATCGGCTCAGCAGGTTTTAGTGGAAAGGCCTTCGTAGAGAGTTTTGTACGATTGATACAAGGCGTACTGATGTCCATTCGAAGAATTTCGCTAACTCCAAGAACATTGTCTTCGGCCTGCATTTCGTAGGTAAGGTGAACCTAGGCTAGAGAGCTGAAAGTACTTTAAAGCCACTACCACCTTGCCGGAAATCATCGATGGTGCGCCCCTGGGGAGTCTAGAAACGGTCAAGCTATTCAGCCGTTGAGCATCAGAGTGTGCAATCAAAGTTCGCTCATCAGTGTTGCAAATAGCTCAAATTTAAACAGGGTAGCGTCACTTAACTCTCCGATGTGCACCTCGCGGTCGCATTTTGAGTAAATGCATGTCCTGAGATGGACAAGAATTTTTCTTTTTTGAGTGGTTTATCAATAAGTCTGTGTAATGGAGAAGCTTCAGGTGTTCCAGTCGGGTGTTCATCCCTCAAGAGAAGCTAAACTTGGTCGCTCACCCAGAGTGTATTGGACAACAAGCAACTGTTTCTAAATCATCACATCACTTTATATTATTAATTTGGACGATGCGATTCATTCCCATATTTTGGTTTCAATCGGTACGTTATAATATCCTTTTAAAGTTCATTACGGTATTTGTACAAACATGCTTTAAGACCCAGAAAATTAAACAGAGGATACATCGATACTATACTCTGACAGGTACAGAGGTAAGCAGAAGCGGAATCTATGTGATTTGTCGTGTTCACGACCTTCACTAGAATACGCACTGTGCGGCTTTGCTTTTCTGACATCAGTCTGAAGTCACCTTCTTATTATCCAGTCTCCCTGGCCACTTGTGCCCCCTAGGTTTTTTCCTAACACGCATGAGATACCACTCCAGTTCTTGTTTACAGAAGAGATGTGATATTCTGTCAACCTATTATTCTCAGGAGGCGCACTGATGGTACCTCCTCTTATGTTGATGAATCGTTTGCAAGTCAGCTGCCAAGCTCGGCGATGAAGATCAAGATCAACAGTTATGGATTAACAAACATAATAAATGTTCATCAGCACGAACTTTGTACAAGAATGTTGTAGAGTGTATTGGTAACCTTATCCTAGAAATCACCAAACCTTCTGTCCACATCTTTCTGTGTTATTGTCCCTCATGAGTTTTCTACACAAAAGTGTTTCATGCGCCTCAATCCAATCTACAGAAAACAGATTAATCGAACTAATAAAACCTTCCGGTTGACATAACACCACAGATCCTCTCAGTCTCTGATTTTGTAGCGTTCTGTGATGTTGTTTGACATTTTCATGCACCGTACCAAGGTTACTTTTCAAGAAGTACTTGGCAGTTACTTATTTATTAATTTTAGTTACCTATTTTATTTATTTAGGTTTGACTGATTTACCTAATATCACAAAAACCAGAAACAGTCTTGAAAAATATATATGGAATCAGCCGTCAATTTTCAGTATTCTGTTTTTTAATATGCTCGTTGACGCCACTTTTATGCGAAAGAAACAGTAAATGAAGATCCATGAATTTTGGACCATATTCTCTTTTAAATGCGTTATTTTTCTGAATTCAATGGGCCCAGACCGGTCAGTCTTGAATATAAGCGACGCGAAAGGTGGATAAGTACGAACATCTAGAGTTGAATAGCAATAAAAAAGCAATTTTTTTAATTTTGTGTAACACGCCATTCTTGGGAGAAAATGGATTTCTGAAGTTATGTTTAGAAAGTTGTGTTCACAGTGTTGGGCTGTCATCAGAGAGGGGTCCGATTTCTCTTGCGTCTGTTTGTGTAATTATTCAATTCCATTGGTTGCTGACCGGTGGCTGTTAATTATTCAATTCCATTGGTTGCTGACCAGGTGGCTGTTGATCTGTTCGCCGAGCTTGGCAATTGGCTTGCAAACGAGGTGACATCATCAGTGCGCAACTATTTGTTGTTGTCCGAAGGAAACTGAATTATCATCTTTTTGGAATACTGTGCAGGGAATTCAAAAAGTCGGTGAGGTCATCTGTTGGGAGCCTTCTCCAAAAGGATATACTGGTCGTCACAAAAGTTTCCATGCACTTTGATAATGAGTGGAATAAGATCTAATTCTTGGTCAAGGTTTGATGCGGCCCCTCTTGAATAACTGACACATTGATACATTGATACATTACGGTAGGGGAAATAGGGCATCAATGAAGTCTGTCAGCCACAGGTATTTTTTCCAGGACTAGACAAGATGCACTGAATTGAACAGTGGAAGTATTTTTCATTATAAAACATTTTAGCGACTATTTCAATCCATTTGCTCACACCATCGTACCTGTCTGTCTTGTGTTAACTACATAGGACTTTTCAAATTAGCTACAATTCCGTATTTCAAGAAGAACTTACTGCCAGTCCTTCTTGATATAAATGAAAACTCCTACGAAGAAGTTGACTATTCCGGAGCTATTCCAGGACTTCTGGACCAATTTCTCACATCAGATAAGAAAATGTATCAAAAGGAGTAATAACCCTAATTTATTTCTGAATAGCTGCACACATATTTTCGGGTTCTGTTACAGCTCCTCTCCTCTGTAACCACGTTGGCGGATTCCAGGTTTGAGGGAAGAACACAGGACAAAGTTAAAAATTTTCCGTTGTAGGTTGAGGACATAAATTTCAGGTGCTCTGCTTTGGGCTTAAAGTAACTAGTTTTTCGCCGTTTTGTTTGTCGTTGCTGATCTACATTTGATCAGCACATTTTCCAGACATTGGTTCTGAACTCGGAGTATGAGCCTTCATCACCGAACTGCTACCTGAATGATTCTTGAAACATTTTAATGTCATTGCCTAGCAATTATTCATTCATCAGCCCAGGCATAATGACTTTTAGCCACAGCCCAAAATGGAATTCGGTTGACCATAGTTATGTTCAAATCCCCAGGCGCTCAACCATGCTGTACTTACTTATTTTCCTCTCAGTCTGTCGACAGCCTGTCGCCTTCCCGAAGGTCGCAAGCATTTCGAAAATCCTGATAGGTGATTGGGCTAACTTGCCAGCAAAAAATAATTGGCTTATCTGATTGGTTGGCTTGTCAGAAGCCGCGCGCTTCTACACTTGTGGCGTCTCGTACAGGCGGTGAGTGTAATCATAAAATCTTGATATGGAAGGACTGGACTCGTTATGCAGCTTGTGACTGTTGTCTGGTTATTCGCGTTTCTTCACTGCTGGACAAGATTAGGCGGTGTTGCGCAAACGTCCGACACATCATGTCATTTGCAGCTGGAGTGCACCGGAACTACCGAGACAGGGCCAGGGCGTGTGAGGATACCTGTCCGATCTGCTCGGGGCCCCATAGGACCTACGGGAGAACGAGGCCTGACCGGACCTCCTGGACCTCAAGGACCAGCAGGTGAGATTTCACTCTAATTTCTAAACACCAGAGATCATAGCTTATGGGTGTAAATAACGCCAATACTTCTCGAATTTTAAGCTCGAAAAATGCAACTAGTTGGACTTAACATTTCGCGTTTTTTCCTCATCTCACGGTTGATCAAATGTGTAGTGCTTCTGCAACAAGGTTCTAATACATCGTGCTTATTATTAATTCGACTAAGCGAGAAGTACCCAAATAAGCTGACCGAAGCTCGGGCTATGTGAAGTCTAAAATTTCAGCTGAATTTTCCGAAACAGCAATTGAATCTCGGGTAGTATAGATGAAACACTATCCATATGGTTGTTGAAAGCCGTCCTACAGCCCACAACCGGTTTCGCCCCTTTTTTGGGTTCATCAGGTCTGCGTAGATTCCGAGCTTCCGTCAATCCTGCATTCTGCTCAGGCCAAAATTGCACGAAACCTGACAAATACCAGTCTGGTTTCTTCAGACGTCCCACTCGAAACTCAGCTGAATCTCTCATTTATGGTGTTGTTCAACTGGTGCTGCTCCTAGCCCTTTCATGTTTCATTTGGTACGACATTTGAAATGTTGCCGTACGTTGTATGGACTCAGCACACAACTCACAAAGCTTTTGAAAACATTTCAACAGCCCATGAATGGTTTCACCCTTCTCGGCACTCATCGAGTAGGCATAGCCCCCGAGTTTCCGTCAAACTCATGTTCTAGATGAACACAAACTGTACGATATGCGAGACTCACAATCACAACTCGAACAGTGTCACAGACAAGAGATTCAGCTGGCATTCAAGTGATCTCTCGTGAAAAGTGAAATGGCGTGAGAATTCCAAAAAGAATAAATCAAAATATGGGCTGCACACTACGCTAGCTCTCGGAACGTTCGTCAGTTGAACAGACGATGGCGTAGATTGCATCTAAAGAAGAAACACCATTGGATAGCAGAAAAAGCTTCAGCCTTTGCGACGCTCATGTCGCATTGAGATTGAAGAACACATTTCACTTGGACAAGCCCTGAATCTATATTTTACCGACACTCAAAAGAGGCCAACTTTATGTGAAATGGCTGTTCCTAGATGTCATAGAAATTTCGTTCTATTATTTTCCGTCATTTCAGAATGCTTTGTTTTAGCGTACAGCGAAGCTCACATAATGTGTATCACTGTAGGTTGGCACCCTCTGTAGACCGACTACTTTAATCAGTCCTCTTAATACATGCTATAGCTCATTGTGCTTGTAATGACTGGGAAGCAAATACGTCCAGCCAGAACGGACTGCATTGTCCATGCTCTAAAGCCAAACTAAGCAGTGCAGTGAATCACATTAACTCCTATAATATTCATTTGTTTGCCAGCAGGCATTGTAAAGGAGCTTTACTACACGACAGATATCCTAGATGTTGCTGACTGATGTCGTTATGCGAATAACTTACATATACTTGAGCTACATTGGAAATGTGCTCTCAAACGGATTACTTTTATTCTTTAAACGTCACGTGAAATCAGAGTAATCGTTGTGCAATCAAAGGTGAGGATGATTGTGACAAACCCGGACAAACTCCTACTAATAATTTGATAAACGGTGAAACAGTGGAAAACCTGTAAGTTTTGAGGACTAACATAAGCTCTGTTCAGTTATCTTAGCAGTCTTACTACATCAGACTACTTCCAATTAAGAAATCAAAGATGACTGATTGACTCAACACGATTCCACTGTCCGCCTACAGGACGGAATAAACCAATGTTTTCAATCAAAAAATTAATTAAATCCTTAACCCACCTTTTTGAAATTTGTTCCGAGAACCAATGCTTGTTAAACTTCCGTCCTTCCTAATTTTAAAGACATTTGCCAAAAGGATTAAATTCATAAGCTAATTAATTGTCAGAACTTCCTGAGTGGTTTTAGACAAAAAGCATTATGCAATAGCGTTTAGTGTACTTGGAGACCGCCGTCTCAACAAAACCTCGTACAAAAATTCGCCTAGTTTCTGGTTCAGATTTGTGAGTACGCTTCAGAAATGTGGCCATAGCTTCCATGTGCTGCAGATCCAGGTGAAAAATGGCGCCAGATAATATCTGTCAACGATATGTTGTCCCAGGAAATTTAAGCGACTGGCTACATACTTCATCGCTCCCTCATTTTGCTCAGGCTTAGTAACTTCGAGTCGGACGGTCGGCATACCAAGTGAATATCAAATAGCATTCTACGCTGGGCTGACTGAGAGCATTGAAGCGAAGCCCACCACAAAAGATTGTCCACTTATTTTCGATGCTGTCGTACTCAACCTTGGAGGAGGATACAATGCAACAGCCGGCCAGTTCACTGCTCCCGTAGCTGGCGTGTACGTGTTTGTCTTGGTCCTGTCCGCACAGAGTTACGAAAAGGTGGGTTTACTGATGGGTTTTCTCTTTTTGCACAGATTGTTCACGTTTTTAGGACCTTAACTGATCCACTCAAATTGCATGTCACAATGCATTACATCATAGCATCTATCCGGGTGCTGATAGATATACCCGAGGCTATCTATCATCAAGTGCCTGACGGTGGCTACTCTCAAAAAGTACAGTTCACGCTGACTATAGCACTTACTGATAGTGTAAGTCGACGCCATGGATCCACTTGAGTAAATGGAGAGCTCGTGCTAGCAAATAAGTCCTTGTCTCGATAGGTAGTACTGTTTAGGGGAGAGAAACCTATACTCGAGATTCTGTAACCACCTGAGGAATGAACGTTTGATGAAAACGACTTAAAATTACGGATAAGCAAACATTAACAAAGAGTTACACACGCTGACAAATGGCTTCAATAAGCGACAGACTGATGTGTTCCATTAGATCAGATCGAATTGCCCTATAGCATTTACTCAAAAGATTGAAACATCTGATGATGCTTCAGCAAGTTCAGCGAAGAAGAGGAAGAGGCCCGTAGTAGTATCGGTAGGACTCGATTCCACAGTGCTCCTCAGGCTCTGCTCACCAGGTTCCTGAGAGTTTACAAACTTACGTTCCCCAAACTGTGGTCTCTGATCCCAGGTGGGGAAACAGCTCTCCAGCCATCAAGTAAAACTGATTTCACAAGTTGGCTTAACTAAGTTTACCATATCCCGGTTTAAGTTTGGTAATTTTTCACGTTTCCTATGTTTGTTAGTGGACTCAGAGTAGCCTCTCTCTTACCACTTTTCTGATGCCCAACTGCACAACTTAAACAAGCTGGACGTCAGTGATACATAGGAAATAAACCCTAATAAATCTTGCCCTTAATTGGCACCTCGAGTAAGAAAGTACCGGCTAAAAGTGCTCTAATACGGCTCATCATAATAAAGGCGAATAAAAGTCTCATTGTGTTACAGTAAACAACCGTCTAAATTTGTGATAATCATAAAGAGAACGCAACTGATCATATCCACGTTGTGTAACGAAATATCAGATGCCATAAACGACAACCCCTTATGTGACTGATTTCCTTGTGTTCTGTCACTCATTTGGCTTAAGTTCGAAAATAAGGCTGTCTTTTACACAGAATTAACCTAACACATGTTTATTACCTTGTGTTTGGTAAGACAAAATAGTCATCGCGATATACACTCGTTTGCGCAGCAGTTTGGTTTTAACGTGAGACTCGATCGAATCCTGGCTAAAACTATCTCTCTCTCTGGGTTGCAAATGAGTGCGTTTTGTGAATCTCGTACAATTTGGGTTCAAGTAGAACGTAAGAGTGAAAGACAGTCGAGAACTACAATCCAGAATAGTGAAACTGGGCCTGAGCTATTTGAGGTTTTTTCGGCAAGCTTGCGAGTAGTGCTTTGTTATTTTGGACCTTGGACAAATCCGAAGAACGGCGAGCACCGGACTCTCATAGTGGTTTTTAGACCGATCATCATGGAACGTAACCACATACAACGACACCAAGCTACAACCCGTGCTGGTGAAATAATCGTACGCTAGGAAGGAAGAGCACAAAAGGATGGCAAACACTTCCACAGTAAGTTGCACTATTCGATTCACTGATTTGGAATAAGGACTGTAGCATTATTATGCTTTGTAATTATTTTTTAAAAAGCTTGTAGATTATTAGAGTGCTGCACTGCCAACACAGACTACAAAAACATGAGATATCCGTTTCGTTGTTTTTGAAATAGCGTACGACTATGATTGGGGTACCTCCTGGCCAGTTTGACAGCTTAGCAAGACGTGTAAACTAAATGTGCTTAAAGAACAAGCGTAAAATCAGAGTTGCACCACAAGGAGTTTTCCATTTGGAGAGATTTACGGCAGCTCTGTGTGCCCGCAGTGTTTAACTTTAGCGTTGAGTTCGGTGAAGGTCCTCTGTTTATTCGAAAAAATGTTTAAAATTAAAAGCTTGATGTCTGTTTTTACGATAATTTCAGTCAACAATCCCAAAAACAGCCTCAAGTTAATATTTCAGAGTGACAAGAAACATAGGTTTATCACTGGTAAGCTGTTTTACACTTTAGTTCCACCTCAACGGATCAGCAAAATGCTTGAAAATAACAGGCAGACCTTATGCTTTATTTTAAATAATGTACAGTGTACGTATTTAGAAGACAAGTGAAGCCATAACACCTCAAGAATAAAAGGTAGGGACTCTTGCGACAAATATGAATGTCATACCTTAATATTAAAACTTTTCGTTAGGTTCGAGTCCCTTTAAATTAGGTGACTGACACCCGAACGTAGAGAGTTAAATGCTGAATTAATGCCATGGGTGGGGGAGCGCACTGGACCATACTTACCTACAGATCTTAATTTATTATTCTATTCTTCAATGGGCTAACAGGTTACAGCGCGCAGAATTACAAACCACCAGATCATATCTTAGTACCGCTTGTCTTACAAAATGCAGTCACTTCATGGATGTACTTACACCGGACAGCTAAAATTTTAAGCACCATACACCTGATAGCAAGACGTCAATACTTAACAATATTTAACATTCCAACGACCGTATTTGCTTTACTTTGGGTGAATGGAGTCTCCTTCATGTATATCATGTATATCAATTTGGCTTTGACAGAAGACTCCCTGGAACCCAGCTGAATCTCTCGTTTTTCGTCTTGGATATTCTGCTTCTTTGGCTAAATGAAAGTTTGACTGACACAATGTTAATTTTTCACTAATCTGAAGTCATCTGCTGTCTCTCACCCAGCCTTATCAGGCGCACCGTTTGCCAATTGAATATCGTGTTGGAATAGCGAACAGTTTGCAAAAAAAATCCGAGTAATCTTCAGCATATTTATACATACTGTGGCTTCGTTTGCGTTGTGCAATCTACAGTACAACTAAAAGAACGAACAAATTGATCTAAACTGTATTCTCCGGCCTGAATAGTGGACATCAAGATCAATCCGCCCATCGCTTCATGGAAATCAAGTCAACTTTGATGCCGTGAAAATCCCTCTGTTTATTACGAATACTACCGAACCGAGTCAGTTTGATTGTGTTGGGCTAGCCACTGTCTGATCTGGCTGAACCCATAAAACAAAAGATGTTCACATACAACAGGCCGCAAGTCACGTGATACTCTGGTTTGATGATGGGCTAACATCCTGCCACATCAAACTATGCCGACGGATCTAAGAGCACACTGCTTAGGGCTATACCCGGTTCACACTGAACCGCGTATAAAACCACTGAAAGTGATGTACCTGATGCGAACCATTGTGAATCAGTTCGATGAAGAACAGAAAAAAGCATCAGAATGTCTACCAGATTATCCACAATTACAGAATCAACTACATGGTTGAAACTCGCAGAGTAGGGAAGCCTGGTGACCCATAACACGCACAATAATACCCAAATGCAAGCTGACTACCGCTCGTCTTCCTCCGTGGTTAAACCATCGGACAATCTCATTTAACATATCAATTATGTAGCCACCAGGTTCCTCACCGAAACTACCAGAAGCCTCCGAACTCAGTTTGAAAGTGGTATTCAAATTCTTCTACAAGCGAAAATCTTCATTTTATTCTAGCAACAATAGGTGACGAAAAATAATCCAACAGAGAAGCGCTGCAAGATGAGGTTAGAAGATCAACCAAGTCCTACAAATACCACTACTGCCCTGCCCATTCACTCAGTCGTCAAAAATGAATTGACGCATGCCGCTAAGATAATCCGTGGAAAATAAACTGATCACACGGTCACATAACATTGAAATCTCCACTGTTACTAAACAAAGTGGATTTTGGAAGGTCAAACTTTACCCATGAGTGAAGAACAAAAATGGAATGTTTCGGAGTGATCAGTTTCTTTTCCGCTCTTGAGAAGAAACGAAACTGCACGGACTCTACACTGCCACCTCCTAGGTAGAAGTGTGACGTTTGAGGTGCACACAGAAATAAGGGTGGAATGGTTGCGGGAATTTTCTTGAGTTCTTCACTTATCCATCTGCAGGAGCTTACGAGTAGTACCCAATAATCAAATCTAAGATTGCTCTCTTTTAGAGGCATAGGATTCTTAGAATATTACTTTGTTCAGACGACTGAGGTCGACAAGACTTTTTGAGAAGTGTCTAATGTGTCCTCCGCCTGAATTTAATGGATTTTTTCATAATTGGAATTTTCGTCTAAATCGGTTCACAATGGGCGCGTTGTGAAGTTAGATTTGGACACAGTGGAGGTCTAACGCTGTCAAACATCACATCGAAGGTTTCAGGTCACTGATCAAAATCCGTCATTCAAAGTAGTTGTAAGCTTGGATAGTGAAGTACGTGGTACTTGTGTGACCGGCCTGCTAGCTGAAATTAAGCCAGTGTACCCGTGCTCAATGTTATGATAAGATTTATGCGGAGTCTTCTGACCAAGCGACTACTCCCCTAAGTTCGGCTGGACAAACGTACGTAAGTTGTCAATGGCACTCATACAGCGACATAAAAACGCATGAAATCAGCCGGTACGTGACGCACTAACTTATTTCCTCCATTTCTTGAAGTATGGGACCTCTTTCAACAAGTTGAGGTTGTTCCTAAATAACTGTAAGGCTTGTGGAAGTGATGCTTAAAATCGGATAAGTGTTGATTTTTAAGACACGCGAATGTTCTATGTATGGACTTTTAAGACTGTTTCAGTTTTCATTTCCTGAAGGCGTCGGGCAGTTTCGAAAACGGGCCACACGACAGAAGCTAAAGGATGGAACCGATACTGGGTGTCAATGCGAGCTTTTTGAAATATTCTTATGATTGGTTGACTGGAATGTCAAACAATGGACACCGTGATTTGGGGTCCTTGAGGTACAATCAAGAAGGTTCATCTGGTAAAGCTGCCGACCAACTGAATTTTGTAGGTCACATGGAAGTCTTTTTGATGATAGCGGGTGGCCCAGATGTCCTTTTTGGCTATTGGTAAAGGTCGTCATTCAGTACCACAGGTTTTGAAAAGTCTTCATTTACGGAGTTTGCGAGATACCCTAGCAGTACTCATCACTATCTTTTACGATGCTTGAGAATCCAAAGCGTATTGACAGTATTCGTCACACCAGTGGGTGGAAGGAACGTTTGGGTGGAGACGGTCGAGGCTGGGTCAGCAAACAGCAAATTTAGGTTCCCTCTTTTATTAACCTGCTGGCAAAACAAAACAAGCAGTAGTAAACAAAAATTGGTATGTTCAGGACTAATATAAATATCACATTATCCTTAGCTCATACTGTGCTGATTGCACACCCGATAATTCCATAGCTATAGGTGTTTAGTGAATCTTTGCATTAAGCGCACGATGGGACACGGTCGTTACAATCTAAGAATACTACCGCACATTTGCTCACTTAAACAGTTTATCAGTTTCCGTCCATGGCTGAATAAAACGTTCGAACCAACTGCTCCGAAAAGTTTTGCCATCCAACGCTTGTCTCCCAAAAGTTATACAAATCTTTTTCAAGCCTAAATGAAATCTCGTCCACTGTCAGTGAACAGCTCCTACTTCCAACATCTTTCGCGTCCGGAGACTAAAAAGGATGAGGTGTTCGCGTGACAAACAAACATTGTGGATAGTAAGAAAGAACAGATCGGCTTGGTTGTGATGCTTATCTGGAACATCAATCCTTTACCGACTTCACACACACCCACATAAACCCAAAACAGATGAGACAACCCAAGTAATGAGTCGTTTGTAAAACAGATGTAAAACTCACGATATTCGACGATTTTGGAGAAAACCAAGCTATACTTGGGAGAAAATGAATACTTGAACTTCCATTCAGCGAAGGCATTCGGTTATCAGTTTTTTCCTATCGATTTCACATCAACGGAGCAGTATTTTGTCCCTTGTTTACACTTGTGTACACCCACCCCGTACGCTTCTCTGTCATAGCATAAATCCACCCTGGTCCCAAAAAACTTGAGTCACTCACAGTAAAATCTCCACAAGATTGATTGATCAGTATTGTGCGTGGCAGAATGGCGTTCGCCAGATTGTCATGCCGGCAAAACCATTTTAGAGGAGGAAGAAAACACAAAATTGACCAATTTTGCTGTGCTTGCCTGTCATTCGATGATCACTCGGGTGCTCTCGTGGTGTGGATGACTCGTTAGGAATCTTTAATTTACGAACAACTTCATTGAGTTTTTCAGAATTAAATACACACACACACACACACAAGAGTAGTCTTGTGAACAGAAAGCAGGAGCGACCATAAAACTACTGCTGAGCTATACTTAATCTTTAAAATTTCTACTCATTTTGAGAATGGTTTTGCATCTCCAGTTAAGCCATGAATGTCAGATATTTTTTACACGAATCTACACTAGGCAGTTATTCACTCAGTAAGTGTCCACACAGAACTTTGTTTGTTTCAGCCTTAATCTTAACCACACCAACGTCAAAACTTTGGCACCAAATGTATCACATGCTGCCGTGATGCGTAAGAAAGTGTGATGTACATCTGAATTGGCACATAAAATGAAACTCGCATCATTTTTAGTACTCAGACTCTCCGTTGTTTTATGATGTCTCAAAAAGACCTTGATGTTATTCGGTGAGAAGTCGACATGAGTATTCAGGAGAAAAGCGGTCTACTATGGTACGAATCCTGAACGGTGCGCAACACACCCCTCAACCTACTTAATGCTGAGTCATCCTCGGATTGACATTGAGTTTCCTGCCCTACTATCTTAAGAACTTAACTGGGACTAAGTTTTGCGAATGCTGCAAGCCCACTATGCTAAAGGTTGCGAGCTTGCGTCTTCCATGACACAAAGGATGGATCCAATACATTTATTGGTTGACATTTCCTATCCATAAAAATCATTCGGCTGTAGCATGCTTCAGGTGCCTAACTGCCATGCCACCCGAAGGAAGCACGAGGGCTGGGATACTGCCACGTTGCACAAGCCCAGAGAGGGAAAGTTGAGAAGCAGAGGTCGGTTTCGAACCACAGATCTTTTGGCCAGTAAATTNAAGTCGAGAAGCAGAGGTCGGTTTCGAACCACAGATCTTTTGGCCAGTAAATTCGAGCTCCAACAACTGAGCCATCTCGCCCCCTATCCACAATCATGAGTTTTATCATCGTGAAACCTAACCACAGATATACAACCAGCGTCGTACAGAAACAACACAATGAATCGGTACGCCATGAAGCAGAATACGGTCTTTGCCGTTGTCGAAGTTTGAAGTGACAATTATCCGAAGATCGGTATGAATTAAGCTCAGGCATCCCCAAAACTTCAGTTGGCAACATTGTTGGACCTTGGTAATTAATTGCCCATCACCTTGGATGCAACTTTTTTAGGTACCCCGCATCCCGACTTTATATTCCACCGCCATTGCGTGTTTTCCTTCTCGTTGTCCTTTATGATATTTTCAACGATAAGTAACTTTCATGTAATACTCTGATTGCTTTCAACATTCCAGTGATTGTCTATATTACTCGTGCGTTATCGGGTATTTCACACCGGTAGGTATCGCAAACCGCCGGTCAAACTGTTGAAGTAGAGTTCGCCACGATCGAATAGTATTGGCAGCAACCGATGATGAAAAACCAGGTTGACTCGCCGCAAGACCTTATGATGAAAAATGCATTGTATGCTACGAGTTCCATCCTGAATGGGACTTGTCAAGTGGGCGCAGTGGGATCGGCCTCGTCAATTTGGCTGAGGAGCTTCACCCTTTATGGTAATGTTACACTGACACTAACCACAACGGCGACGCATCAGAGTCAGGGCGAGTTCCGAGTTAAGAATTGCCACCATTATTACTATCTCCAATCACTCCAAAAGAGGGGCACTTGATGCGCAAGCGCAAACGTCCAGTGTAAAATGACGAAGTTGGATTGATGACGCAGAGAGTACGCTAGCAGATATTCTATCGTTGTGGTAGCTATCCTTTTGGATGTCCCATGCGCCAATGAGTGACGCTGCGTCGCTGCAAACGCCCCAAAGACGTGTCTGGAAATTTGCTTCATCCGCAGCGCCATTCGAGTTCCCATACATCTGTCCAACCCTTTTAAAGTGTACTGTAATACGGCAATGACGTCACAGTATATTCGTACTGATGGAAAAAAAGTTTCTTTTCACGTTCACAGAGGTTGTCAGAGTCCTCATTGACACTCGTGACCTGATGCAACAGAACTAAGTCTACGTATAGTACTGCATTCGATGCCGACCTAAAAAAGCTGGGATAGAATTCCTCATGCAAGCAAAGTAAACGAAAAACCGGTTGTATATCAGGCGGCCTCAGACGGAGGAAAACCTATGTACAACACTGTCCATAGCAGATAGCCCTTAATTCTGCACTAGAAGAAGCCTATTCTGGCAGTTGGAGGGACATGAATAACAAGGGTACTTACTCTACGACATCACATGATTTTTGGAAACAATCCTTGCCACAATGTTTATATCTCAAGGAAAAGCCGTGCGAATTCCTACACAAACTAAGCAAGCGGAACTTCCATAAGGTAGGGATGACCATTAACACTTAGGTATTCTGGCGTAAGTTCTGGTGTTGATGGAGAGAATCCAGTTTCCGAGGAACGGGATTGTCTACTTGCCGGTCTATATAGGATATTGAGGATCTGTAACCGGAGACGTTCCTACTTCTAGAAAATCGTTTAAAAATGATCACCAACTTCATTTTCCTTATCATACTAAGATGACCATGTTTGATTCCCTTTCGGTCAGAGTCTTAAGATTGCCAAATCTTATACGCAAATGTTTTGTCAGGTGAGGCTATAAGCAAGTGCAGTGCCACAACAACAGGATAACGCTACGGAAATCCTCAACCTTCTAGAAAATAAAAGCCTCGAACATACTGCATTCGACAAATATTCTAAGTATATACCCTAATAAACTATCATAACACAATTCGCCACTGGAGAAGGATATATCGAGAGACAATCATCCAACCTATTGGATGTGAAGAGGAGTCTGCACCAGAAATGACACCGGACACTCGCCTAAAGCATTATGTGGATCCACCTCGAAGACCGAGTACATGCATCCCAACCTGGCGACCTTCCTACCACAAACACATCTGATGATCTACGACTTAAGGGGTAACGGCATAACGTGATGGATCCAGCGTAACCTTACAGGCACGTGACTGCTGTCAAAGACGTTTACGAGGTTAGACCTGGGTCTAGCACCTGAAGGATACAATTTCAATGGAACACTCATCAATGTGGTTAAAGATATTACGAACGGGTGGATAGTGTGTATGTCAAGTTCATTTACCACTTCACTGCCTTCCAAAAAATGAATACCTCAGGCATAAAGAGAGGGAGACAAGAAGCTGAGAACGGTTGTATCGCATATCAGGACCATTCAGTGAGGCTCCTAACAACTCATTGCAGCTAACTCAGCTTGGCGAGCCCAAATGTCGGCAAGAGAGACAGATGGCTGAGCGGAGGTTGAGCAACTAGACTGACAAGACTTGTCAAAGATTCCATCGATATGGAATGATCTGTCTCAGACCGGACAAGTCCAGTCATGACTAGTCTTCAAATACACACACCAAAATAAGTGTGTATTTTAAATAAGCGAGGCGAACATCGACCAATTAAGTCACCGTAAAAGACAGTTTCAAATTTATTATTATATGGATTAGCCAGCTTCATTGGCTTGCCCATCCCAAAAGTAAATCACTGGTGGAGAGTAGGTGAGTTTGCGTTCGATAAACTTTTGGTGGTAGCCCAAATGTCTGTCTACAGGCATCAGTATTCACGGTACTAAACACACCTGTTTCAGTCGATCAACTCACACATTTGATACCGTGTGTATGATAGAACATCAAAGTACACGAATGAACACGAGCGTTTTGCGCAAAACAATTGCCGTTTGAGAAAGGAATGCTCTGGAAATGTGGGAACTCTAGCAACTAACTCTCGCATCAATTTCCCGTGAGCACCATTCACTCGCAATAGATACGAAGCGCTTTTGATAAAATATCACCAGATAAGTACATTTATAAGTAGTTTACAAGGTTGAGGGGATAACAGACGAGATCTCAATGGTGAGGACTCAGTAACTGGCTCTAAAATGAGTAGTCGGGTTGGTTGGCGTCGGTAAAGTCATTGTCTTTGACAGGAGAGTGCTGATTGCAATTGCCTCTGGTGTTTCCCTATGGACCATTTAATATTTTTTAATATAGTCGGTTGGGTTATTGCATTATTATTATTGTGATATAGCCAATACTAATATATTCAATATTAATCAGATGGAATGCAACTGTTTGCCAGACTCAGCTGGCCCTTGCTTAAATACGTCACGATATAATTAGCCTCCCCTGGGAGGAATAACCGAACAGTCCGACCAAAAATGGACACTTCACCTGTTAAACTTTCATGAAAACCCACCTCTGATTCGACCAGCCAAGCGAAGCACTTCCCAAGGCTGGTATCATCCTACGCACGATAATCCGTCACACCAGCGCTTGACAGTCTGTTAGACAAGATAGTATAGCCATAATCTCACCGCTGTCCATGTTGCTGGAGTAATTCAATATTTCCGAAGAAACCTATTATTGCCTTGACCGGATAGCATTGCGCAGAGTGATTTTATTTTTCGCTAAGTTATGACCAGGCAACAGTCATATGACGGAATACATTTCACCAATGAAATCCTGAGTTTTTGTTTCAACCAGCCACTGACTTGGGCAAACTAATCTAACTACTAGTGATAATTGTGTTGAGCCAACTAATCACCAACTCCACGGCGGACACTTATCAGAACACGGGTGAGGAATTTCCCCTGGTCGTTGCCACAAAGGAGCATTTCGATCTGAACAAGCTGTCACATGGGGCTTTCTTTCGAGATTCATCAGAAGGGAGTAGGTGGAATCGGTCATGTGGTACCTTGGCTAAAGTTAAAAAAACATTAGAAACTACCCCCAAAAAGTGTTGAGCAGACTCCGAACATTGGTATGCAAAACAGGTTCTAGTGCTTCATGAAACGCGTTTTAACCAGTTCACCATTTTTTCCATCAAGACAGAGTTGATAAACCTATCATGTACTTATCCACTTCCGTTTCTCCTCTATCCATTCATTTTACAGGCCGGTGCAAAGCTTATACACAACGGTACACCCGTACTTCTCTCCTGGTGTGAAAGCACATTCTGGGCCACGGTGACCAACCAGGTAATTCTAAAACTGGATAAAGGAGACAAGGTATGGCTTCAGTGTCGGGAAGAGGCCTACCGCTTGCACGGACATATGTACAGCAATTTATCCGGCTACCTTATCTATCCAGCTACAAATTAGCTTCCAGGGTAGCAGAAGTCGAAAGTTAAAACACAAGCTGCCAGTTAAAGGTCAACACACAAGTTTTACTACTGTCATTTTTATATATTATAAAGTCGGCGTTTGTGAAAGTCTAATCCAAGAGTGCCAGAATGGCATGTCCCTCCTAATGACAAAGCAATAAAGGTCAATGTACAGCTGACAATCTTCCTCTGTTTGCACCGCGTGATCACACGACATTACAAGTAGACTCAACGAACTACAGAAATCTTAAAATTTTGAGCGTGTTGTGTTCAGTAGGACCCCTGTGGATGTGCGGAACACGTTGGAGATTCAAATGAACATGATTCTGATACGCGGATAGAAAACCTGAACTGCATTAGACGTCAAATGAACAATTTGTATTGGGTCAGGTTATCTGGAACTGTGGCTACCTGGAACGAGTGCAGTTCAGAGTTGGAAAGATGCACATACAGGGAATGAGACATGGCCCGCTGTACGAATGAGGTCGACCGAAACATGATGAAGCATAGATAACCGACATGAACGTAATTCCTCTAGAACCATATCGTACACACACTGAAAGAGGTCTGGACGTCTAGCTTTCTCCCGGTTGTGGTTGACAGTGACCGATAAAAAACCGAGTTACCGTTGCACAGCTGACCAACACTTACACCCTGCAACACAGCATAAAACACGTGCGCGCTGCACCACTGAAGGTTATTAAGTCACGTCAATTCCTAGGACGATCGAAAACAGCGGTCACTAAATCAAGTGGGTACCCTACGGCTTAGTAGCCCGCAGCAACCAGAGGTTATTAGCCAATAACGACAGCTGTACGTGTCATTTTGAAGCTTCAAAGCTCAAGTAACTGACGAGAAATGCCTGGACCTGTGTCCTTTACAGGACAAAGTTGGGACCCAATTCATTTGAGAGAACCACGGAGTGTCACAAGAGCAGAAGACAGCAGGCGAGAAGTGAAAAGCACCGTCCGGTTCACATTGCTACGGACAAGTAAGGGAAACGTCTCAAATGACCGCCTGGAAGACTTAAGTGCTGAGTACCATACGTCGCGTGAGCCACCAGATAAGCAGCGGCTGAATAAGGGCAATCACAAGGAGGAGGTAGACACGGCGTTTGTTCGATTCCGACTGATAGGCGTCAGGGTGAGGTAGTAACTTCAATTTGAGGGTGCGGATCTGTAACAGAGCAGGAATACAAAGTAAGACAACTGAAGTGGGTTGGGCTACCTACAGAAAAATATGAGCAAAGAAGGTCTCGAGAAGACCAACACGACAACTGTCCCTCGCTGGTTTGGTCTCCGCAACTCTATAAAAATGTCTAGGGACTGGTCAGATATTAAGTAGCAAACGCCAAACCGCGTTACCTTGAATTCACATGTAGGCATATTTAGATTTCTGCCGTGAAGGCTTGATAGCAGGACGGACTAAAAGCCTACTTGACCACGATAAGATAGATCATTTAAAAACGCAATTGTTCAAAATCATGAAACACAATAACTCTCTCAAAGAACGGTAAAACAATATAAGGAGCAGCAACCCTTCCGGGAAAGTCACTCGATGAGCTCTATCCTGATTTGGATGTATGGGATTGATGCAAGTGCAGACAATTTATAGCCCTTCTACTTACAGCACGTTCTTGATTCCGGGATCAAGCAGAAACGTTGCAGTTGCTTGTATACTGCCCAAGAGTCAATAACATGACCGCTAGTGAATAGTGAATTAGTTTTAACCGGCGAACATTTGCCCATGTCTGGTTGGTGGTTATCGTAACCTTTGTAATTACTGAAAACTTGTTGGCTACGTTAAATGGAGTTGTTCGACAAAACTCGCAGCTACTCACTGAATAAACAGTGACACGGCAGAAGTTTACGTGGCGTCATGCTGAAGACTAGTCCAAATTTAAACACAACACAAGCTCGCGTAGCTAAGTCACGCTAGGGAGCTTTGGAAATCCAACTGACGGCAAACCACCGGCCTATTACATTAATTAGGTTGTATTTAGATAGCACATCACGGCAGCAGTACTAACTGAATCAAAAGATAAATTGGGCGATCGTAATTGGTGAAAATTCTAATAAGATACACGCAAGAAGTGGAGACAAAAACATACCAAAAAGAAAGCCAACGCCAGACTGACGTAGACAAGGGCAAAGTAATAGCCCGGTCGATCGAGGGATACATAGGCAGCAAGGACGACAAGCATGCTGGAAAGGAAACGAAATCAGTGTTAGGGTTCGGTGTACGTAAGAGGGTCCGAGGTGAGCTGCGGGAACTCTATGTTGCAGTGAAGAGGTAATATGGGTAAACACAACAGAGTAAAATAAAACAGATACATTTTCACGGCTTTCAAATAGAGTGATGATGTAGAAGTGAAAAGTCAACAGTGGTTGAAAAAAACCAATGAGCAGAGCGGACAACCTGTTTCCTCAACATGTCCTGATGTTACAGTAAAGTCCGCGTTGAAGGCCCCGCTGTTAAACCCAGATGAAATGGTTAAGCTCCATCAGACATAACACACGCACACCTCTGATTCTCATCGAGACATGTGAGTGCCCCAGTTGCTTATGATCCGAAAAACTAAACCGGAACTTGCCACTGAGTCTATTCAGAAGCCCAGAACTCATGACCAGTCACGAACTCCTAAACACCAAGCGAATTCTGCACACCAGAGGATGGTCGTATTACACAGGGCCAAACAGTCTAGAAATTGTGATGTCGTGAGCAGCTAAATGGTATTATTATTAGAGAGAGAGAGCTGGTCGTTGGATATGAAGAGCACTGTATCAACTCGAGAGTTTATGATTTAGTGTGAGTTACTGAATCAACCGGACTTTCCGACTGTGTCCACCTAGATCAGAACAGCTTGTTAGCACATCATGCCCCGTGCATCTCCTCGACTGTATGGCAGCTATGTACGAAAAGGTGCCACAAATGAATTATTTTTTTGGTTTCTGTTGTGTCTTGCTGAACGGTAGTGCAACTCTGTATCGGTCCTTGGCTTCCTGTTCCGCACACTGCTATAACAAAAGGCACGGTAGCTCTACGCAGCCCTTTTATGGAGACAAAGGAAAATTACTACAACTGTATTTATAGGGTAGTCACAGAGTGTTCCACAAGGTCGTGCCAGAATCTCCGTAAGGGGGCAGGAAGCGTCGAGCCAAAGGTGCTTGATTCGGATTGGCAGGCATTCTGACCAATCGGGGCATGCCTTCGTTTGGTCCGTGTCCTGCACGTGACACATCCGTTCAAATAATGTGTTCGTTTATTAGGGACGTCTGGCCTCCGTACAGTTTCAAACAAACGAAACCTCTGGATGAGCTAAAAACAGAAAGCTTATTCGTTTTCCATATCACCCAAAAGAGCAAAGGAACGCTGGAATACTCTTGAACACATCAGCTTTCCGGTTTGTGGCTGTAACAGGTAAGGGTTATGACCGAAAGACGTCAGGGTTTTTAAAAAACAGATTTCCTCATAATTATGATACCCCGAGGTAAACTTAACCTTTGTTTTCTTACGAGGGGATGCTGAGAAGTCGTCGCCCTGAATTAATTACCGGAATCTGAAAAGTACCTAGCAACTATCGCTTGAAATGTTCCGCTGTAATCTAAAAAAAGCTAGGCCGCAAAATCATAGCAGTTTGTTTGCTATTCAGAGGAATGTTTGTAGCTCACATGGCGTAGATGGTCGTTGGTTTGATAGCTGAGCTGGGTAATTTGATTGCAAACGTTTGATCACCGATCGAAGTGACATCATCACCTCGATTGGTGATGAAACGTTTGCAATCAAATACCCCAGCTCAGCGAAAAAACGACAATCATTGCAGTTTGTCTTCACTGCGTTATGCTACAGAAATGCAGACAAAATGCATGAAGTTTTCCCGCGTAAAATGATCGAAAAAAGGAATTCCTGAATGCACGATAAGTTTCCGCCATATTCAAATGTTAAAAGGGGGTGCGAAAACTTTCAGCAGGGAGATCTCCGGTGGGAAATGTGACTGACCGGATTCACGGGACGATTCTGATAGATCGTGGAATGTCAGCAACAATAATTGTGGAGAAGTTTGGGATACCCGGGAAACGTGATGGGTTTATGATCCAGCCACATGAATGTTCCAATATCCAAATACTGACGAGGAACGGTATTGAGAAAGCAATTCAAATTTGATTTTCCAGTATTTCCGGCATGCTGGTCCCAACTTTTTGGAACGATTATTGTTGACGAAATACGGTCACATGAATACGAAAAAACTCAGAACCCAAAATTCGGCAAACAACACAAGGTCCAGGATTTTTGCATTGGTACTGACTACCGTCCAGACAAAACTGTCCATGCAGACTCTAACCGAAACTTGCTGTGTCGACTGAAGAGTGCACTGAAAGGAAAACTGACGGGAAGTTGCAGACAGTGACTTGTTTTATTAAAGACTACGCGCCTGCTCGAGAACCACAGATATTGGACGAATTTGGGATTCGGTCGCGTAAAATATTTTCACCAAACCCCTTGAACTTGTTCCCTCTGACTACTTTGTTTCATAGCTTTAAGGCGAGCTTGAAACGGCACAGTTTTTCCTCACGCAGGGTTGAATTCAGCAAAGGAGAAGTAGCTCAGCGGCCGCATCTGAATTTTTCCGAGAGTTACAGACACTTTGGACGCCATGTGCTACGTACGTTGGAGTGGATATGTGGACTGACATGGCAACTTCATGATTCTAGGTCATTTCTAGAGTAGTCCGCGAGCTTTTTCAGCAGTCTTCGTAGAGTATTGTCAGCGACCGCCTAAAACGCTGGCGATGGGCCCGAAGTTCTGGCGAATTCCAAACGAAAAATAATTCCACAAGGGCATTATTTGAACCGGGAAAAAGCACGTTGTAGCGGATATGTATTCCAAACAGCTCCACTGATCACTATCATCACGAAGTTCTCGACGATCGTACCCACGCGAAAGAACCGAACTCTCATCATGTAGGACTAGGTTCACTCACTTTAAAACGTTCTGATTGACCTTAGGGTTCACCACCGAAAATTGGATGTTTCACTTGGTTATCTTGAACATCATCCAACCAACTGAGTTTTATTCCATAATCTACTAAATATACGCGGCATACAACTGTAGTTAACACATCCATTAGCAAATATCTAGCAAATAACTATCTATCTAGCAAATACTAAAAATTTCAATCACTTTACACTCTGACGGTTCAGGATTTAAGCAACCTTAATGTTTCTTGCTGGTAGCGTTGAAAGTGTGCGCTGAATGGAAAAATATCCTTTAGCTGTAACACCCTTCCGGTGCCTAGCTGTCATGCTACTCGAAGGAAGCACGAGGGCTGGGATACTGTCATGTTGCCCAAGCGTTAGCAATAACGATAGCAGTAATACTCGTTCAATCATAATACTTCCGGTAGCTAGCTGCTATGCCATCCGAAGGAAGCACGAGGGCTGGGATACTGTCATGTTGCCCAAGCCTAGACAGGGGAAGTCGAAAGGCAGAAGTCGGGTTCGAATCACGGACCTTCCGGTCAGTAGATTCGCGTTCTAACCACTTGGGCCATCTCGCTAAGGCATCTGCTGAATGGATGCCATAGTGAACGGTTGCTGTCGCCGGTGAGGTAGTGTAGTAACGGTATTTTCCTCAGCTTAGTTCTCGGTCTGAGCATCCCAAGCTAGCGTTCACGTCAAAACAACCACCAAAGGTGCACAAAGTCTATTAACGCCCAAAACGAAGTCAAGGACAGTTGTACAGCGCTTCGTATATATAGCGTAAGCGGTTATAACTTTCTGGAATTTCTGACGCGTTCTGGATGCGCCATTGGCAGCCGGCATTTGGCCAATACTGGGTCATGATTGGCTGTTGGGTCCAGATTGTTGACTAATCAGATCTCATCTTGATGCCGGACCGGCAAGCGTCACGAATTCTGGGCCAACCTCGAGCGGGCCAGGCTTCTCGGCCGTAGCAGCGTCTAAAGACGTGCGGTATAGTGGGATCCGCGTGGATTCCTGTCTAACAAGTAGTCACCCGAAAAACACTGTCCCTGGATCGACTGTTTCATTGCTTGGTTGGAGACTAGTGTTTGCCGAGTGAGAGGGGTAACTTTGAGGAATCTGAAGTTACTTCCAATCTGCCAAACAATTGAATTTGCTTTCAAAAATACATGACGACTGTTCACAACCGGCCAGTGAACATGTCTGTCGCGCGAAATATGCTTCCGCAACTCCACTGCAATATCACCTGATTCCGATCTTATGTACATAGCCATCCTCGGTGTCATGTATAGTTATCCAGAGAAAATAAGACTGTTCTTCCGTCTTACAACAGCTATTTAGTGTGAATATGAAAATGTCCGCCGTAGAAGAAATTCATCATAGAGTCCCCGCTGAAACCTTTTCTCACTCTCTCCACAGAACTGGACTAGCAACCGGTAGGGATGGGGTATCCGTTGGTCACTACGGTAGCCTGTTGCAATGAGCAACCAGATTTATCCATAACATTGTCAGAAAACACACTGGTAAGTAAACAAGAATCATATCCGATGAACTGTACATCTGGCTGTCTAATTCGCTAAGTTACTTGCTGCCAAAACCAAAAACAACATTGTGAGGTTAGGTTGGAAATTCAAATCAATCTAGTATGAATCATCCTCGTGTCACAACACAAGACGAACTCATCAGTAAGTCTACAAATTTTACGGATAACCATAAGCTAAGCAACGAATGGAGTAGAAGCTTGAACCGCTCTGACAACCACATCCCAATTAACCAAGAAACTGAACAGTGCGAACAAACAAAGGCTGTTCCATGTCGCACTCCCGCTCCTTAAATCCAGCCAAGGTCTGAAGATATTTAACAATTGCATATAGAGGTACTGAAAACTATGCACTACTGGGTACGACGACGAATGGACAGCCCAATAATTAAGCGAATAAAGCTCTACTGTTGAATAAAATGACACCCAAGGCAGGTCAATAGATCACAGACGACGTGGGACACTGCGGATTTCGATCCGTAAATTGGAAAAGGTTGAAAAGGATTCAGACCCAAAGTGGCGTGAAGTGAATATACGCACCTGACAAACTTGTACCCCGAGAACGCAACGATATCCAGATACGATAGGTGTGATTGTATATTGAACACGTATATGCAGAGCATGAAGACCAAAAGTTCCAACAGAAGCCACCCGAGAGCCTCGCTTGACAGAATGCCCAGCAGTTCCGGGGAAAATCGGCTCTGAATGCCCATGATTGCTCCGCTCACAAGAACATAGGTAATGAAAGCCATCAGAGGAATGTAAAGGTCGGGGGCGTTCAAGTCGTCACCAGGGGGTACTGGTCCGGAGGGATCAAAATGGGTTGACCATTTCTAGAAAAGACAGGAAGACAACGCTAGTGTTAGTCTGTAAGGATAAAAATCCTGCACACTTAATTGAAGTAGCCCCTCCAATCCACCTACTCTGTCAACAAGCCCTAAACTGCCATACAATGGATTCCGCCAGCCACAACTGTACGCACAAAGGGTTAAATTGTCTCAGAATAAGTGGAAATACTTCAGCCGAGAGTCACAAGCATAGCCTAATCGGATTTGAAGTGGTTTACTAGTTAAAATGTATTTTTGTACATTGAGACAAACACAAAGAAACCCATCTGCATCTAATTTCGGAAATTCTGTGAGCATCGTCCTCATGACTTACAATGACGGAAGGCTGAATGAATTTAACACTGTTCGATGCATCTGGACAGGAAGTAAGGCTAAATGCAACTATGAAACCTCATGCCTTATGAAACAAACACTACTTACAACTTATATCAGCAGCGTACCCCCCTCACAATGATGGTCAACATGCGCATACATCGCGACAAAACCAGCTAAATGCTTTCACTACAATGAAACGTTGGAAGTCTTAGTTGTGTAGAACACACCAACGAATACATCCTGCTCTCAAACCCCATGATTCCGCTTAGCTGCATCGAAATACAGATGCTGTCTGATTCTGTTTAACTGTGTGGGTCAATAATTACTACCAACCACTGGCGCCACACATGTACAGACTAGATTGCACTTATTCAGACTAACATCTCAATTGGTTTCTCCACTACCTTGCCAGTATTTATAATGATTCCAGAAAAGTTCGTTTAAACCCACGTAATGAGCGGAATGGACTTCACGATGGATACAAGCAAGTATCGATACTTATACCTTCGGGAGCAAGATTAGCTGCACACATGAGTGATCATCTAGCAAAGTATTTGTTAGGTGATCAAATGACGAATATTTCATACGCATGTTAACTGGAAACGTTTGCTGTTGGACAACTGCTAGCACTTCCCCAAGATACCAGCCTAAAGGCGATCCAAGCACGAAACAAACCATAACGGACATGGATTTATTTTGCTGTGAGATAAAATAGTGTCTATGGTGATGAAAGGGATTTTGCGCTGTTTATTTGACATGGGGCGGGTTCGAAAACTGATTGCGACATACCTATCTAATTACCAGTAACAGATATTATTCCGTTCAAAGGGCTCGAGTTTGACGGATGTGCTGGTAAACAAACGTTAGTTAGGGCAACTGAATCGGAGATAAGTGAGGGAGGCTCTTTCACAGCCTCTCACATGGATGTTTACATCATCAAGGTAATCTGAAAAGCAGGACGTTTCTTTTTCATCGTAGTACAAGGATAAAGCCCTTTGATGGACCCCAGTATTTCCTGCAATCAATGATTTGGGTACGGCCATTCGAGCGGACAGGAATCATTACTGGAAGGGTAGAAGAGCTCACGTTCCTCATGGTGGTCTTTGTTGGGAGGTCGCGGTATTCAACACTGTCACTGAGCAACTCATCCTTGAAATAAGTCTTAAAGTTAAGAAGTTAAGAAGGAAAACTAGTCCACCCAGGGAACAACAATCATTCATGTAAAACAGCCCGAGTGGTCTTGAGTTGGGATGATCACTCTTAGGGTATCACTACTAAGGAATAAAGAAGTAAATATTACTACGCACATCTTTTAGCAACAATAGGATGAAAAACTGGAGCACGCAAAGTAATATGTTTGTCTGTAAGGCTTTCTAAACAAAAGTTACCTTCTGGTCACCACCACTGTTATTATCCACAGAAACTACTGTATGAACAGAAGGCGGGAATACTAAAAGTTGAAAAAAAACAGTTCAAAGAGTTTCGAAAACTCGTTCTTGAATACGTGACCCGACTGCAAGCCGTTTGTTCAACTAAGAGTTCTGAGTTCAGTATGGCTTCGCGCGGAAGTTTATACAAATGACTAAGGAGAACCGCTAGTGTAAATTTTGGCTGATCGCAGACCATCTTTATGCAGTACTAACTTCCAAAATAGCCAAAGTCGTTTGGTCGCATGGTGTACTCCAGCAGCAGTCCGGCTACAAACTCAAATCGACCACATCATCATCAGTTTCCGATGGCGCGGATCAATAACTGACTGCCGGTTGTTTTGCAGCATATTTGAGGATTCTGACCACGCAATTGTCCGGAATCCTTTCTCCTAAGTTTCCCTGGGCCTCGTAAGGTGTGGATAAATCGCTTGGCAATTGAGAGGCTGGCAGATCCGGATGTCAGACGAATTTACGAGAATCGTCTTCCAGTCTCTTCCAAAAGCTCCACCGTCAGATGTAGACTAATATTGGGACAAGATCGCCACCTGTTTACATAGTGTTGGGAATTTCGCCTGTGTCATCACCCAACCAGGCACACGCAACCACTGATTATCAGACCGAACGGTGGCACCGGTTAACCCTAGGAGAAACATCCCAGCCGGTCTCGAACATAACCCGAAGAGTTATCAGACGTCAAGTGAAGGTGAGCGTGCGAGCCAACCGTGAAGTATGGCGGACACACAAAGCCACCGGCTTTCTAGCCTGTAATGCCCAAAGATTATTTCAGTTGATCCATGCGACCGGCCGACGGATACCACCGGTGAGCGAAACCATCAAGCATCAGAATTGAACGACCATTTCGAATAAAGAACGTTCGACCACTAGGCCAAATACTTCGAACAGCAACTGTCATGGTCACCAGCTGACACTCATCTAGAGTCCACATGTGAAGTAGAATCCTGGAAGGTGAACGTGGAACCACATACTGCCTCGGAGGTTTACGACTGCATATGTTCTCTTAAGTGCCGCCAAGCTCCTGGTTCGGATGACCTCCCACTTACATTGGTCAAAGACGGGGACGAAGTCCTCAGTCAACGCCTGTCTGATCTGTTTGCTCGCATTCGGGAAAAGAAGTCTGTACCAGACAACTGGGAAGAGACAGCGATAGTGTCCATTTTCATAAAAGGGGCTCGTATTGGGTGTGGTAACCACAGCCAGATGAGTTTCACCCCGGTTGTAACTGTTGGTGTCAATTGTGGCGTCAATTGTGTTTCGTCGCCTCACGGTGGCTTGTGAGATACTGACTCGAGAACATCAAGCGGGATTCCGGCCTGGTAGGGGCTGCGTTGACCAAATTCTCACACTTCGTCAGGTGCTAGAACAACGCCATACGTATAAGCGACCCACGATTCTAGTATTCCTGGATTTCCGAGGCGCATTCGACTCGGTTGATCGGTCTGTAATGTTTGACAGGCTTGCCCACCGAAGAATGCCCGGAAGTTTGTGGACATAATAAGCTTTTTGTATTCCCAGACTTCCGAACGTGTGCGAGTGCACGGAGAGTTCTCCAAAAGCTCCCGTACACAAAGCGGTGTCCGTCAGGGATGCTCAGTCTCTCTCCATGCCTGTTTAACTTCGTGATCGATGAGATAATGGGACGAACGCTGGCCTCCTAAACTCTGGTGTTCAAATAGCCCATGGAGAAAAACTTGTGGATCTGGAATATGCAGACGACATCGTTGTCATCTTCGAAGAGAAGGCGTAGGTGTTTTTGAATGAACTGACTAAAGTCATCCCGTCCTTTGGTATGCACTTTGCACCAACAAAGATCACGCTTAAAATACAGAGGGAGGCACTGGAAGTTGCGGAGCGTTTCACGTACCTAGGAAGTGGTATTAGTTCTGATTAGTGTGATAGATGAGGTCAATGCACGAATCTGTAAGGCTCGGGTCGAGTTTGCTAACTTGAGATACCTATGGCGTCAGAATGGTTTATCCCTGAGTCCCAAGGGACGTGCGTATCAAGCTACCATGCGGGTTGTTTGTTGTATGCCTGCGAGACTTGGACTGTTCGAGCAGCGGAATTGAGAAATCTTCAGGTGTTCGACCAGCATTGTCTCAGAACCATAGTTCTGGTGGGTTGGTGTCGGCGAATCCGTAATGAGGCAGTTAGAAAGCGCGTTTTCGGTTGTGTAACAGGTACTTCCATTGAGGAATGTATCCAGCACCAGAAGCTGCGTTGGTTGGTACATGTGCCTAACCGACGTTTGCCGAAGAGAGTACTGTTTTCCATGCCCAATTCAGAGTGGGGGAAACAGAGTGGTGGCCAACCCTTGACCTGGCAGAGGGTTATGAAAGAAATCACGCAACGTTTGGGTACTGTCGGTACTACTCGCCTTCCAGGACGGAGACCGCGTAATCCCCAGTGCGCCTGGTTGGAGACACTACAAGATATCGCTGCCGACCGATGTCAGTGGAGTTCCTGTTGTCCATTTCTATTCGGATTGCCTGAGTGAATTTCTGGAGTGGTAGGCACCTCAGAATGATTGTAGCAAGCTACCACTCAGTCCGTTCCCCGTCCACCTTTATTCTTTTTCCACAATAAGGCTTTCAAATAAGTCATGATTGTACGGTGGTGAAGCATTGGTGTTGAACACTGATGTCATGTTGTCGATGACGATTATGACCAGAGCTGCCGCTCCTTCCTTAAGCTCTTCACCACTTTGTAATTGAGGGATTCGCGTGCAAAGTCATACTCATCGCACTTTGATATGGATTTCCTGTCATCAATACGAAGTAGCGATTTGACGATATTGTGGTCAATTGGTTGTACGGAGGAGTCGGACAGACAGCACTAACGTCGCTAGCATAGCTCCTTTCACATTTTGCCATGCTTCATCAACGTACTAACTACCAGTCCAGTAATAGTTTACAGTAAGTAGTTGTTGAGCTAGCTCAGATCCATACTGCTGAGCTATGATAGTTTTTCGAAGACGGTGGATTGGTTAGTTTCTTGCTGATTTGCCAGGGCCTGAGGGAAAACAGCATGTCAGGTGTGCGCGCACCATAGCGTCAAATGAATAAACTTGTGTGCCCTAGAAGAAACAGCAGTCTTGCATTATAGCTCTCTACCAGTGGACGATGACCACGTGATCCAACTGGAAGCATGGTTGATTTGCAGTTGGTGGCCGCCAGGTTGCACGATGCAAACATTTATGCTAAAAGTTCATACTGGCCAGAA